TGTCCTTTCATTTTTTTTTTTAAAATTTATTGTGTTAGTTAAGAAAAAAAAAAGTTTTAAATTGTTTTTATCATTATGTCTTTAATTATTTATAATATTATAATTTATAAAAAATAATATTATAATTTAAAAATTATATAATTTAAGATAATATTGTAATTCAAAACTTTCATAATAACACTATTTATATTCTAAACATGTAAATTTATTCCTTTATTCTTATTTTTTGTCCAATATTAGACATATTAGACATATTTGATTATGAACGGCCCTCTAATTAAAGTTTACAACAATTAAGATTCACTTAATCAAGCCACAAAAACACAATGCCCTTTTCTATGTATTACCATTGAAGTTTCTTGTAAAGGCATAACAAGAAACACAAAAGTACAAAGCAAATTACTATAACACTTTTATGTCGATATGGACCATTGTACTACAAAACCTGAGTGGTGGAGGAGACAAGAGAAATAAACAATTATTAATTATTTGCATTAAAGAAGCACTAAGTGCCACACGTCATAAAAAGTGTTGAACACAATAACTGAGGAATATTAGAAATAAATAAATTCAAGGTTTAGTAAACCATAAGCCACCATTGATCACTATTAAGTGAATGTCAAAGGTTCAATTTCAATCCCACATAACCACTTAAAAAAAAAAAAACACACACACACACACTCACAAAGCAACTCATACAATACATTCCACCGTTTCCATATTCATTGTGACTGAAAAATAAAAAATACAAAACAAAATAATAATCCCGTGTACTGAACTTATCCTATTCAAGTTTTTCTTTGCATAACACACACACTAACTCTCTCCTTTTGTGGCTTTAATCAAAGTTTTCATCATACAAATTCCTTGTCTGCTATGTGGACAGTTCAAAAGTATATCAGGTCGGCAATTCTATTTAATAGTCATAGACAAAACCCGTGCACATGTTTGTGATATGATTAGCACTTTAGTATTTGACAATTTGTGACCAAATTATTGATTTTTTTATGTGGAAGAAGATAAATTTTTTTATGAACCAAGAAGTACCCTTTTCTTGGATCGAACAAAAGGTAGCAAGTTGACACCTTTCTCAATCAATTATTATTTACTTTAATTTTATTATAACATTCTCTTTTTCTGAAAAAAATATTAAAAATAGTGATACTTAAACCTAAAGTTACAGTTTTAAACTTTTGATTGATTATTTTATACAAAATACAAGTGGAAAATATCGAATATAAAATAGTAAGTTTGACAAATTTAAAAATTACTTTTCAAATACTATGAGTTTGCTTAGTTTGTAACTCTGAAAAAATATAAAAAAAAAATTCTACTTGGTTCAGCTTTCTGAAACTGTTTTTTAAAAACTCAATTATAAAAAAATTTGTTTTCAAATAAATTTGCCTTTTACAATTTTCTAAAAATAATTTTATATTCTTTAAATTCTTGAGAATTATTTTCATCACGAATCAAGTAAGTTTTAACTATTTTTATTACAAACGGTGTAAGTCCTCATATTTTTCTGGTACATTCATGATAAAAAAAATTAGTGACCAATCATGGCATAATGTATGGGTAGCTGTGCTATGATGGGATGTTGAAGTTGTGTTTAGTATTAATTCTCTGCATTTTGTCCTTGGTCAAAAGTGGGATATTGGAACCATTCTCAGTTGGGTTACTGATAATAAATTTAATTAGCACTTTCATTTATGCTTTAAGTGGGTTAATTGGATCTCTCTCTCTCTCACACACCCACACACACACACAGAGGTTTGCGAATTGCAGGTGGAGCTGTTGATGAATCATGGAATTTGGGACCAAGAAAAGCAAATGAGATGCTGTGAGTGGACGATATTCGCTCATTGCAACCCTTTTAAAGCTTTTTTTAGCGCTCTTATGAGACGCTCATTGTTTTCTTTTAGTTTTCACTGCGGTCAATATTAGTGATTTATGCTGTGTTCTATAAGAAAGAAAAAAATTAGATGGAAGAGAAAGAAGAAGGGAAAGAAGAAGAGATTGTGTATTTTATTTTTTTTGTTAGGTTAGATAGAAGAGAAGATAAAAAGTTTATAATTTACTATGTTGGTTTAGGGAGAATGAAAGATAAAATTTTAATTATTTTATCATTATATTCAATAATATTTATATAATTGTGATTTATAAAAATTTAAAAAGGAGAAAGAATAACTAATCCTTTTTATTTTCCTTTTTTTCCTTGCATCATTTCTACCTAATAAAGGTAGTTCCTTCCTTCCTAATTTTCTCTCCACACCTCTTCCTTCCTTTCTACCGAACACAACACATTATGCTTTGTTTGTTTGAATGTAAAATATTTAATAGAAAATATATATTTTTTATTTTTTTAGTATTGGGTTGTTATAAAATATTTACAAATACAAAAATAGTAAAATCTAATAAAAACAATTTATCTAAGGCAAATTATTTTATACATCCACTCAATGAATTCGATACCAACATTTGCCAAACACAAAGAAACAAAAATTTAAAAAATATTTCAGATGAAAAAAGAAAACATGGCCGGCGAATTCAACCCCAACCTTTGTCGAACACAAAAAAATAAAAAATAAAAAAAATATTTTTCGTCAAAGTAAACGAAATTTTAGTGTTCTAACATTTTATTTGAGTTGGGAACCTTTGCCGTGTGTTGTAATATGTTTTTTAAGTTTGAAGTCCTTTGAATGCAATAAAGGTGTCGCACGTGGCAGAACATGAAAGCTTGGATCCATTTCCATTGCTTGAATCTCTCAATCTCAATGAGTTGGTTTCATAGCTACTAGTGTCTATGGAATTGATTTTCTACTAAAAATTAGAGTGAACACAATTGATAGTTGTTAGCATAGACAATGTCTTCTTGTTAGCTAAAGCGTTTGTGACCATTAAAACTTCAAGTTCTCTGCCCCAAGCCATTATCAGTATAATAATGATGGATTTGACACCACCAAAAACGGTTGAAACTGAAAAAGAATTATATATAAATTATCCTATAGCCTCGGAAATTATTTGACTCAACTTTGATGGGAAAATGAATTAGGTCCCACAATTGTGTGTCTTTGCTGTTAATTCTCCTTGCCTAATTTGGGACCAACCTGTCTAATTAAATGGGAAAAAATATGTTCAACCAAGGAAACCACTCATGCTTCTCTACTGTTCAAAAATATGGTAAACATCTATTTTCTTTATAAAAAAAAAAAAAAAAAACCAATTAAAACTATCGGAATTTCAAAGGGTAACATTACTATAAAGATTCTTATCTTACTACTATGAGATCCAGAATTTTATTTCCTTGAAATCACCTCTGAGAAAAGGAAAAAAACAAAAAATTCTATAGTTGAAGCATAACTCTTGTTGCAACGTGACGCCAACACCAGCTGCCACATGTAGCGCCTCCTTTGGTCTTTAATTGATGCACTGATGAGGAATACAACTTTAACTTTGCCACTACGGAACAAAAAGACTCCAAGCACATTTTCTATAACTTTTCTGTTTTGCATATTTAAGGCCAAAAGCAACTTAAGTCATGTCAAGGGCGGATTGTTCAATTTTAAAATTTCTCAATAATTATGCTTTTTTTTTATTTTTTTTATTTTTTTGGAGATAAATTGCATTGACACCTGTTGAGGTTTTGGTCAATGTCATTTAGAGACATGTCAACGACTTTATTAACAATGACACTCCATATGATTTCAAATGTCATATTTACCCATACTTATTTAATTCAATTAATTTATAAAATATCAGTCATATTAATTGATGAAATTACACTCATCATTTATAATCTTTCTCTACCAATTTTTAACCTTTTTATTTTTATTTTTTTATACCTAGCCGCTGACACTCCCTCTCTCTCTCTCTCTCTCTTCCCGATCTCAGACATGACTGTTATTATTACTATTTTTTTCCTGCTATGGTGGGTCTGGGCTGGCCTTGGCTGTTATTAAATTTTTTTTTTTTAATTTGGTGGTGGTTGTTGTTGTATGTATTGTTTGCGTGGGGTTACGGTGGTGTCTAGATTATCATAGTGTTTTAATTTTTAATTTTTATTTTTTCTATTGTTGTGGTGGTGGTTTTCGTAGCGTCTGGGTGTGTTGGTGGTGTTGTCTTGGTGTGGTGGTGGTTTTGGTGGCGTTTGGGACGTATAAGTATGAGTTAGCCATAACTGTTTTCAAATTTTTTTTTTTCCTACTATGGTGTTTGGGTGTGGTGGTGGTGTCGGTGGTGCACAGTTATTTGGCTATTTCAAACAAAATTCATTTTTCATTTTATTTTTTATTATTTATTTTTATATTGTGGTAGTGGTGGTTATGGTGGTATAAATATTGTTAAATATAAACTATATGATATATCTATATGTATAAAAGAAATGAAGAGGTTACTTTGATCTATTAAATTTAGTTAGGAGGTTAAATTTGTAATTTAATGATTTAAATTGAATTATTGACAAGCCAAATGGTTAAAAGGTAATTTCATATGATTTCAGAGGTCTAGAGGGGAGTGTCAATGCACATATTTAAAACCTTAGGGGTGTTAGTGTAAAAAAAGCCATTGACCATCCGCTGAGTGGTATTGAAAAAAATCTCAGGAGTGTCAATGTAATTTACCCTTTAAAAAAAAAAAAGGGATTTTTTTTCTATTTTAAAACAAATTTCAATATGAAAAGTTTGAACCTCAAAATTTTATGTATCTTACCTGCATTTGTAACTTTTGACTTATTAAGAGATTTTGACTCCCTCGCTAGTCAAAAGAAGATGTGGTAATTTCAAAATTTTAATGCCTATGAAAAATTATAGGTAAATTACATATATTTCAAGAGGTTTGAACAAATTGTATATGGATAGACTAATAGACGTTTATTACTTGACTCCCGTGGGCTACATTCTTTGACCACAAATAGGCCTAAATAGTTGTAAAATGTCCTAAACATTCAAATTTAAGAATGCCTTTTCTATAATGAAAACAAATCCTTGCTTAGATTACTCCAAACAAAAAATTTCAGATTACATTAGGTCATTCTAACACACGAAAACGTTAAAATTTAAGTTCTTCCATGGTCTCATAGTACTCTCACTTTCTGCTAGGGAAATGAGTGAAAACAAACCAAACATCACTGTTGCAAACATGACATAAGTAACATGGCATGGAATTGTTATTGATTACAATATATATATACAGTGCTAGAAATAATAAAAAGAAATACAAGAAAATGCACATGATGCCCATAACCAGATTTCAGAGTAGGATGCTAGCCTACACCTAACAGAATGCAATTTCAACACCTGCCATGCAATTGATTTATTTAGCCGAGCCTTCTGAATTTCTTAACAATCCTAAGAAAGTTTCTGCATAATAGCTTCAATTTTGATAGCTATAGTGCTGAAACAGGGTTGGATCAGAACTGTTGAAATATGCTCCTCCTCTCACTCCTACTTCATTCTCTTCCACATTGAACCCATCAAGCTACAAATGGTAACCAAAATCAAAATCAAAATCAAATTTTTTTCTTATATATTTGTATTTTTTACATAACCCATATTTTTCTTTTCCTTTTTTCCTTTTTGAATTATAATAATTGTTGAATTGTAAATAAGAGAAATGCTTTAGGCCCTGTTTGGCAAATGCTTCTACTTCATGTATTTTTGCTTCTGCCAATATACTAATCAAAAGCACGAAGCGTGTTTAATAACATTTGCTACGATTTGAATATAAAACAAAGCACTTCCAAAAAAAGTGTCAAAATTGAAAGCTTTTAATGCTTCCGGTTGATTTCGCACGGTAGCAAAAGCACGGTTCAAAAAAAAAAAAAAAAAAAAAAATCTCTAAAATGACGTTTTTAATTAACCATTAATTTTTCAAACTAGCAATATTTTTTTTACTAAACATGTCTTCATATTTTTACATTAAAAAATCTTGTAACAAATATATGTTACAAAAAGAATTTTCAAATAGTATTAAACACGCTTCAAAGCAAAAACAAAATGCAATTGTGGTTACCAAACTGGCCTTAGACTGTCTACGAGACATCCATAGACTGTGGCGACAGTACAAAGCAACGCACTCAAAATAATCCAATAAGAGGTGCTTTTGAAGAAGTCACTAGTGACAAAATATTTTCTTATTACTGTAAAAGATTAGACAAGAATAAGTTAGCATAGTCATTGAAGTATAGAAGAGAGAATAATTACCCAGAGATCATCTTCTTCTTCACATTGATTCATATTTGCAGCTTTGGAAATCTCTCCAATTTCATCGCTTCGTGCAAATCTGCCACGAATCCTAATTCGACTGTCTGCTAGTGTTTTCCGGCATGCATACTTGTATCAACAAAAGAACAAAATGCCAACCAACATTCAAATTAATCATACACAATTAATTTTTTTTTTTGTACAATTGAAATGTAGAATTGAGATGTTGATTATGTTACCTTAATTGTCTTGTTGAAATTTCTATGGGTACGCTTTGCTCTGTATTTGTGAATCCTCTCTTTTCTCTCTTCTGCACTGTATCGTCGCACTTTGAAAATTTCTCCCACCATGAATGAGCTCTCTGAAGCTAAAGGACTCAATGACAACCTGTGGTTTGTTTTCATCTTCTGAAAAAGATAAAAGGTAACCACTATTTGATTGCATATGACAAAAACAAAGATAACAAGAAAACAAAACAGGGGAAACAGAGCTATATATTATATAAACTCAAATATATAATATAGAAGGCTATGTGGATGATGAACTAACTTGTAAATCTCCTGTGCTGCAAGCTTTTCTTATTTGTCCAGTGGCAAAACTGTTTTTAGGTGAGCTCATGACTTGAGGTTGAAAAATTGGAGAGTTGATGAGATTATCAAAGCCAGATTGATACAAAAACTCAGGTTTTCCATTAAAATAGTTGCTACTGAAGCTTCTCTGCATCATCTTCACTGCATTCTCAGGACTACCATAACTTTGAGGCTCAAAGGACTGATGATTACAAGAGGGTTGAAAACGCAATTGACATTCCTCTGTTTTGACCTCCAAAGCAGAGGACACTGTGAATGGATTTGCAGAATTCGAAGCATTTTTCAAATGGGTTGTTTGGCAGAGAGAGAGATTTTTCAATTGGTGACTTGGGGGAGAAGAAGAGAGGAAACCAGGGGTAATTTGGTCAAAACAATTGGTTTCATCAACTGGGTTTTGAAGGGTTGTGTTGTTATCAATTGTTTGAAGGACATCAATGGTTGAGCCAGAGAAAGGGGAGAAAGGATCAGAATAGAAAGAAGCATCAAATACAAAGAGTTCAGAAGCCATTGAAACCAACACTGAGATTGAAAAAGTACAAATGAAGCTTTATATTGCTTTCCCCCTTTTGGTGTTTTGTATTCAAAAGTTGGTTTTGGAGCAGTCCAAACACGAGTTAAAGTGAGGACGTTTTGGGTAGGTAGGTTTATTTAATCAAAACGACTGAGAACAAGAGAGGAAGATGACAAGAAACTCATTTATCTTCTCTCTGTTTGGTTGTTTATGCTCTCTCTCTCTCTCTGTCTGTAGAAGAGACCAATTTTATAACGGCTTCCTTCGGTGTGTTTGGTAGGGTTTATTTGGAGGGATAGGGAGAGAAAATAAACCATAGGATGGGATGGAAGTGTGTTTGGGTGGGTTAAGTGAAAGAGAGAAAAAAGATAGGGTGAGATAGGAAAAGATATTTATTACTTTCTATTCTCATTTGCTTTTTCTCTTAATTTGAGAAGATATGGAAAGAAATGATAGTAGAGTAAGTGACGAATACTTAATACAAAAAATACCATCTACAAATTAACATACAAATAAATTATTCCATTTATGTCCCAATTATTTAAAGAAATATTCTTCTTACAAAAGAAAAATAAACGAAGCCTAATTTTCCAAAAGGAAATATTTAAAATATATTGTTACGGAGCAATTAGCTTGGTCTGCAAATTTGTTTTCACCCATTATTTTTATTTTTTATTTTTCTTTTTTAAACATTCCAAAATATCCTAATGTGTGAAGCGGTTATGAAATGGTAAGACAGTAATTTAGTCCCTATTCTTTTTTTTCTTTTCTCTCTTCAAGAATAACTATTATTTTTTTTTTTTTTCTCCCCTATCTATCCGAATAGAAAATATTACTATCATTTTTTTTTTTTTATCTATCCAAATACACCCTTATAGGCCAGGGCACAATTAAAAACAAATGGAGATTGGTTGTAATGGGTCGGATGGCATCGGGAGACTAGTTGTGATAATGGGTTTGGATATTTGTCATATGACCCGTGGGCTTTTAGGTGGGGTTCCATGTGATTTTGCAGTCAGATTGGCCAGTCTATCCATCCCCCCTAATGGCGAGAGAATCCGAAAACAGTGGAGACATAAAACAGACTAAGCGCTCGAGTCTACTTGCAGGGACACAGGGAGTTAAAGGACGGGGGCATGTGCCTTTCTTGAATTTTCTTTCTCTCTTATATTTTATATATATATATTTTATAATAATATATATATTTTTTATAAAAATATAGAAAGTGTTCTCCTTAATTTCTTCATTTTTCTTAGAATCCTATATATATATATATATTTTTTTTTTCTTTCTCCTAAATTGTTTCTTTAATTCTTTATATTTTATATCTGTAAATTAATTTCATCACAAAAATATTACGATCTCTCTCTATATAAACATTGACTTATATATATATATACATTATGTGATAAATATATGTTATGCTATAAAATACTATACATTATATGATAAATATATGTTATGCTAATATATATATATACTCATAAACATTGACTTCTATACATATATATTATATGATAAATATATGTTATGATATAAAATACTATAATTTGCCTCCCTGAAGAAAAAAAAATTCTAACTCCGTCCTACTTGTAACAGATAGGTGCTCATAGGAACGGAGCCAAGAATTTGGTTTGGGGCATTGTAAACATAAGAGAGTAATTTTATTTTTTCCAATTAACATGACTGTTAACACACAACAAATCAAAAAGTAGAAGTGTAATAATCAAGATTCAAATATTATGTAAAATTTTTAACTAAAAAAACTTCAGGGTTATTTTAAATATATAGAATACAAATATTATAAAATTACGCGAGTAACAAAAGTATAAAAGGAGAATAAAAAGAAAAATTAAATGAGGGAACGTTGAAAGAGAAAAAATTAGTTAGTATTTGATTGAAGAAGGGTAATATATATATTTTATTTTATTTTTTTATTTGAATTAAATAAAAGGAATTAGAAGAAGAGAAGTAGGTGTAAAAGAGAGAAGAAAAATAAATTGAGAGAGTTTTCTAACAGGATAAATTTCAGGGTGCATTTCTTAATATTTTACAAATATATACAGTCAAAAAGTTAAAAGAATATGGTACACAGACAGACTTTCTTTGAGATTTAAGTAAATTACACACAGGTAGACCGTTTAATATTTATTACTTTAATCTCCGCTGACATTTGACATGTGTGTTCATTAACATTCTTAGCATTTTCTTTTTGGCAAACCTATTAGATCAAATTGATTATTTTGTCCTTCCATTGTGCAAAATGCAGTATTAATATTATTTTAATATAATGTATTATTAAGTTTTTAGACTCAAATTTTTTTTTTCGACCGCCGGCCAACTAGGGCTGATCACGGATTGGATCGGTTCGGTTTGGGAGGAAAGTTCAATGGATTGGTGAAATCTGAAACCGAACTGATCCGATCCGTGAGGACTTTCAATTCGAACCAAACTCGATCCGTAAAATAACGGATCGGATCGGTTCGGTTTACACGGATTAGGCTTTTCAAACAGCCCAATATGATTACACTTTATGTCTTATTAAAATATCAAATTAGTAATTAAAAACCTGTAACTAACTTTTTAACATATATCACCACAAATTTAAATTACCTAATAGCAAAATAGAATTGTAAATCATCCAAAAGTGAGAAGTCCTAAATAATAAATAAAAAAATAAAAATATAGTAAGTATATTGTATATACCAGTATATAGTGTTATATATATATATATATATATATATATATATATATATAATATTAATATATAATTAAGGTAATGAATCAGATTGGATCGGATCAGTTTTTTCATGACCCAATCTGTAACCACCTCCGAACCATAAGATATGAAAACCGAATCGAACCATACGAATCAAATTGGTTCGGACCGAATTAACGAATTATTCGCTCACTCCTACGGCCAACGGTTTTAAGAGAAGTCAAAATAACAATCATGTGTAATTAAATGGTATACTCAAGTGTAATTTATTCAAAATTCAGAAAAAAGTTAGTATAATTTATTAAAAAAAAAAAATTTATAACTTGTGAGACCCAGCTTAATGGGGCATGTAAAAGTCTTAATCGGCTCCATCCCACTCGAAATGGACGTGAGACGAGAGCCTCCAACGTTAGCCCACTCGTGCTATAAAAAAAAAAAAAAAAAACAAAAAAATGTGATCTTATTTACTGTATTTCATACTTCAGAAAATAATCTTCAAAATACAATTTAGTGAAATTGGAAACCTTATTACAAGAACATTGAAAATTAAACTCTATTTTCACATATATGAAAGTAAAAAAGAAAGAAAGAAAGTTGCACGATTTTTCATTGATTTTAAAAGACCATATTGCCCTTAATAGAGATTATGATTTTGTTCTTGAGATCAGACCTTTATATATTAGTATTACATACATGGAGCACAGCTCATATTATACCTGGTGTGACAGAGAAAGAAACGTGAGATGTGTTGTCATTTGTATTAATGTGCAAATTTTTATTTTTTTTATAAAAAATGTGATGTCACTTTATGTTACGGTTATTCAACTTTTTCCTCCCTTTCTTTTACTTCTATCTAATTTTCGACATAAAGATTGTAAGCTTATTAATCAGCCTTTTATTATCTCCCCAACTCTTCCTTGTACCAAATATTAAAGACCCATCCAAACTCTCTCACTTCCATTTTCTTCCTTTCCTCTTATCAAATAAAAACGGAATAGTTACAATTATCATTCTTATAAATTACGTAAGAACATGAATTTTCTCTCTAGTTTTAAATATAATATTGGCGTCCCTTCTGACTTTGGTCTGAGTAACATTGATTTCCCTTGTATAAAATTTGACACTCTTAACAACTGATAATATGTTCAAAATTGGATTAAAAACAATATTCTTAAAAAGCTTGAAAATGTTATTTTGTTCATATGTTGAAAAAATAAGTATAAAATGAGTATAATAATAAGTGAATAATGATTTAAGGGTTGAATTCGATAGACGTCGTGTGATGAGACCGATCATTCTTGTCACATAAATTAAGTTTGGTAACTACTGAATTCAGTTCTTAAACTGCTCATAATCATTTACCATGAAAGGGTGAAAGTCAACGGTGACAGGAAATGTCAATATTATTTTTGAAAGCACAAGTGAGGTTCATGTTATATAGGCAATTTACTAGAGAGTATGTGTAATTATCCCAATAAAAAATAAGCGTACTCACTAAAGTCGAGGGCAATTTGGTCATTGAAGATCAATAAATACTGTTTTACCATGCATATGTAATTATATAGTAAGAAAATTAATATATATATATATGACATAGCACGATCAATACATGCCTAAATACATAAATACATATATGTATATATATGTATATGTATATAGCTTTAGATAGAGAAATAAATTGATACGGAAAGAGAGGAGGGAGGGTGAGTACAAGGACAGTCGGCCCCAATGGCGCTGGTGAGATCGGTGTGCCAGACGTTGAGGTAGTTCTGGCGTTCCTGCATCTTTTCCAGCTGCTGCTCCGCCCCCATGCCGACAAGATTTTTCTGCTCGCAGACCTTCTGGATACGAAAACCTAGCTTCTCTCTTTCGAGAGAGACGAAGAAGAAGACGACGACAACGACAACGACAACGACCAGAGAGCCTCCTTTTGAAAATTAAATAATTGAATGACTATTATAAGCACTAGAAAAATATAAAGCCCTTCCGGAAGGCTTGGACTTTTATAAATAAGTGAGATTTTCACGTTCCGAACCAGCTAAGATAAGGAATGCTTTGAAGACGACGACGATCTCTGCAACTAATTATTTATTGGTGATTATTTTTAGTACCCACTCCTACATTTGCCTAAGCCACATTACAGATGCTTGTTTTCATTTTGGGGGTCTGTTTTAATGCATAAGGTAAAATCTGTCCTCTTATATATATGTATATATATTTAGGCGACTTCAATATTCAGGTTTAAGATTATTAGGGAGTGAATAAGAACTTTCAATTGAATTCATAAATCTATATTGCTCAGCAAGTACGAGCAATTCCCCTGTACTTAGTTGCAGAAATATTTGATAATATTGTTGCTAATAGGCTGATAGGTGTACTCTTATATGCAATGTTGCCTGTTCTACGACCAACCGAAGAGTTAAGAGTTTAGAAAGGGACTTGGGAAGCATGTTAGGGGAAAAATGCCAATGTCAATTCAGCAACAAAGCCAACAAAAAGTCAAATCAAGAAAAGAAAAAGCGGAGCCTTAATTCTCAATTACATGTGGTTGATTTCCTGATTTTATTTTTAATTTGATTTTAACTCTATGCAATTCTTGCTTTTGGGTTTTACTTTTGTACCTCGTGAGGTGTCTCTATGGATTTTGCTTTCCTTCCATCTCACACTGCAACTAATTTACCCTCTACTTCATTGCAGTGCCCCATGTGTGTCCTACTTGCTTCGGAAGCCAGCGCTTTATAATGACATGTCAAGGTAATTCATGCTATCTAATCTCGACTCTGGTAATGACTGACCTTATGTGTAACTATTTTTATCCACATCTGTCATAGGTATGTTTGCTGTGCTGGTTATATGTCCTGCAGTGGTCGATGTGGAGAAAGTCATTGTCCTGAATTGTGCCTTTGCAATAGTACTGAAAAAGGGTCGGATCAGTACTGAATTTTGCTGGTTATTTTGTTTTTTTTTTCTTTCAATTATTGATAGCTATAGTACTGAAAAAGGGTCGGATCAGTACTGAACTCTTCCACATTGAACCCATCAACCTACAAATGGTAACCAAAATCAAAATCAAAATATTTCATATATTTTTGTATATTTTAAATAACCCATATTTTTCTTTTCCTTTTTGAAGTATAATAATTGTTGTATTCTAAATAAGAGAAATGCTTTAGGCCCTGTTTGGCAATTGCTTCTACTTTGTGTTTTTTTTTGCTTCTACCAATGCACTTTAGCTAATCAAAAGCACGAAGCATGTTTAATAACATTTGGTGCGATTTGAATAGTACCAAAGCCCTTCCAAAAAAAGTGTCAAAATCGAAAGCAAATAATTGATACTTCCGGTAGCAAAAGCATGGTTCAAAAAAAAAAAAAAAAAAAAAACTCTAAAATGACATTTTTAATTAACTATTAATTTTTCAAACTTGCAATATTTGATTTATCAAACATGTTTTAATATTTTTACTTTAAAAAATCTTGCAATAAATATATGTTACCAAATAGGCTTTCAAATAGTATTGAATCCACTCTGAAGTAAAAACGCAGAGTAACTGTGGTTGCCAGGCCTTGACTGTCCACAAAGCATCCCTAGACTTTTCCGACAGTACAAAGCAACACTCTCAAAATAATCCAATAAGAGGTGCTTTGGATGAATCATTTGTGACAAAATATTTTCTTATTACTGTAAAAGATTAGACAATGATACGTTAGCATAGTCATTTAAGTATAGAAGAGAGAATAATTACCCAGAGATCATCTTCTTCTTCACATTGATTCATATTTGCAGCTTTGGAAACCTCTCCAATTTCATCGTTTCGTGCAAATCTGCCACGAATCCTAATTCGACTGTCTGCTAGTGTTTTCCGGCATGCATACTTGTATCAACAAAATAACAAAATGCCAACCAACATTCAGATTAATCATACACAATTAAAATTTTTTTTGTACAATTGAAATGTAAAATTGAGATGTTGATTATGTTACCTTAATTGTCTTGTTGAAATTTCTATGGGTACGCTTTGCTCTGTATTTGTGAATCCTCTCTTTCCTCTCTTTTGCACTGTATCGTCGCGCTTTGAAAATTTCTCCCACCATGATTGAGCTTTCTGCAGCTAAAGGACTCAATGACAACCTGTGGTTTGTTTTCATCTTCTGAAAAAGATGAAAGGTAACCACTATTTGATTGCATATGACAAAAACGAAGATAACAAGAAAACAAAAACAGGGGAAACAGAGCTATATATTATATAAACACAAATATATATATATAGAAGGCTATGTAGATGATGAACTAACTTGTAAATCTCCTGTGCTGCAAGCGTTTCTTATTTGTCCAGTGGCACAGCTGTTTTTAGGTGAGCTCAAGACTTGAGGTTGAAAAATTGGAGAGTTTATGAAATTATCAAAGCCAGATTGATACAAAAACTCAGGTTTTCCATCAACATAGTTGCTACTGAAGCTTCTCTGCATCATCTTTACTGCATTCTCAGGACCACCATAACTTTGAGGCTCAAAGGACTGATGATTATAAGAGGGTTGAAAACCCAATTGACATTCCTCTGCTTTGACCTCCAAAGCAGAGGACTCTGTGAATGGATTTGCAGAATTTGAAGCAATTTTCAAATGGGTTGCTTGGCAGAGAGTGAGATTTTCCACTTGGCGAGTTGGGGGAGAAGAAGAGAGGAAATCAAGGGTAATTTGGTTAAAACAATTGGTTAAATCAACTGGGTTTTGCAGGGTTGTGTTGTTGTTGTTGTCAATTGTTTGAAGGACATCAATGGTTGAGGCAGAGAAAGGAGAGAAAGGATCAGAATAGAAAGAAGCATCAAATACAAAGAGTTCAGAAGCCATTGAAAACAGCACTGAGATTGAAAAATAATAAATTAAGCTTTATATTGCTTTCCCCCTTTTGGTGTTTTGTATTTAAAAGTTGGTTTTGGAGCAGTCCAAACACGAGTGAAAGTGAGGACACTTTGGGTAGGTTTATTTATTAATCAAAACGATTGAGAACAAGAGAGGAAGACGACAAGAAACTCATTTCTCTTCTCTCTGTTTGGTTTTTTATGCTCTCTCTCTCTCTCTCTCTCTCTCTCAGTGTGTGTGTGTGTAGAACAGACCAATTTTATAACGGCCTCCTTAGGGTCCAGAGCTCAATTAAAAACAAATGGTTGTAACGGGTCGGATGGCATCCGGAGACTAGTTGTGATAATGGGTTGGATATTTGTCATATGACCCGTGGGCTTTTAGGTGGAGTTTCATGTGAATTTGCAGTCTGGCCTGTGTATGTATCCACCCTAACGGTGAGAGAATCCGATAACAATGGAGACATGAAACGGATTAAGTGTTTGAGTCTACTTGTAACGGGTGGGTGCTCATAAGAACAGTACTAAGAATTTGATTCAGCGAGCATAATAAACATAAGAAAGTAACCTTTTTTTTTCCTTTTTCTTTTTTTTTTTATTTTTTATTTCTTTTCAATTAACATGACCGTTACCACACAACAAACCAAAAAATATTACTATAATAATCAAGATTCAAATATTATGTAATTTTTTAACTAAAAAAATTTAGGATTATTTCAAATATATAGAATACTAATATTATAAAATTACACGAGTAACAAAAGTATAAAAGGAGAATAAAAATAAAAATAAAAATGAGAGAACATTGAAAGAGAATAAATTAGTATTTGATTGAAGAAGAGTAATATAATTTTTTTTTTTTTTTTTGAAGGAAATGAAAGGAATTAGAAAAAGATAAGTAGGTGTAAATGAGAAAAGAAAAATAAATTGAGAGATTTTTCTAAAAGGATAAATTTCAGGGTGCATTTCTTAATACTTTACAAATATATACCGTCAAAAAGTTAAAAGAATATGGAACACGAACTTCCTTTGGGATTTAGGCAAATTATGCACGAGTAGATCGTTTAATATTTATTACTTTAATCTTCACTGACATTTGGCATGTGTGTCCATTAACATCCTTAGCATTTTTTTTTTACGGCCGATTTGTTAGATAAAATTGAATATTTTATCCCTCCATTGTATGAAATACAGTATAAATATTATTATAATATAATGTATTATTAAGTTTTTACACTCCAATTTTTTTTTTTGACGGCCCGCCAATAGTTTTAGGAGAAGTTTGAATAATAACCGCAAAATGATATACTCGTGTGATTTGTTCAAAATTCAGAAAAAGTTAGTATAATTTATTAAAAAAAAAAAAAATTATAACTTGTTAGACCCAGCTTAAGTGGGCATGTAAAAGTCTTAATTGGCTCCATCCCACTCGAAATTGACGTTTGACAAGAGCTTCCAACATCGTGCTATTAAAAAAAAAAAAATTATTGTTACTTACTCGTACAAAAGGTTATCTTATTTACCGTATTTCATATGTACGGGGCTTCAGAAAATAAGTCTTTGAAAATACTACAATTTAGTGAAATTGGAAACCCTTTATTACAAAAACATTGAAAATTAAAGTCATTTTTCACGTATATGAAAATAATAAAAAAGAAAGACAGTTACACTATTTTTAATTGGTTGTAAAAGACTATATTGCCCTTAATAGAGATTATGATTTTGTTCTTGAGTGTACCTTTATCTATTAGCATTTACATACATGTAGCACAGCTCATATTATCATTCCTGGTGTGTGACAGAGAAAGAAACGTGAGATGGGTTGTCATTTGTATTAAAGTACAATTTTTTATAAAAAATATTATGACGCTTTATGTTACAGTTATTCAACTTTTTCCACCTTTTCTTTTACTTCTATCTAACTTTCGACATATAGATTGTAAACTGGAGCAAATGCTTATTAATCAGCCTTTTATCATCTCCCCAAACTCTTCCTTGTACCAAATAATAAATACCCATCCAAACTCTCTCACCTCCATTTTCTTCCCTTCCTCTTAACAAATAAAAACAGAATAATTACAATTATCATTCTTATAAATTACCTAATAATACGAATTTTCTCGCTAATTTTAAATATAATGTTGACGTCCCCTCTGAGGCTCTGACTTAGGTCTGAGTAACACTGACCTCCCCTATCATAATTTTGACACTCTTATCAGCTAATAACATGCTCAAAATTCGATTTAAAACTCGAGAATGTTCTTAAAAAAATTGAAAATGATATTTTGTTTGTAAGTTGAAATAATAAGTATAAAATGAGTATAATAATAATTGAATAATGAATTAAAGACTGTAATTACCATGACCTCATGTGATGGGACCCACCATTCTTCTCACAAAAATTAAGTTTAATAACTACCAAATTCGGTCCTTAAACTACTCATAATCATTTAGCATGTGAAAGTCAAAATTGATTGGGAATGTCAATGTTATTTTTGAACGCAAGAGTGAGGTCCATGTTATTTAGGCAATTTTCAGAGAAGGTAAGTGTAATTATCCTAATAAAAAATAAGCATACTCTTAAAGTTGACGGCAATTTGGTCATTGAAGATCAATAAATAGTGTTTTACCATGCATATGTAATTAATTTTCTTACTATTTTCATACATGTGTGCGCGCGCCAATGCGCGCGTGCGTGTTCATAGCTTGATAATTCCGCAAATGTAGCAGTGGGTACTAAAAATAATCCACCAATAAATAATTAGTTGCAGAGATCGTCGAAGTCGTCGTCGTCTTCAAAGTATTCCCTATCTTAGCTGGTTCGGAACGTGAAAATCTCACTTATTTATAAAAGTCCAACCCTTCCAGAAGGGCTTTATATTTTTCTAGTGCTTATAATAGTCATTCAATTATTTAATTTTCAAAAGGGGGCTCTCTGGTCGTTGTCGTTGTCGTCGTCTTCTTCTTCTTCGTCTTTCTCGAAAAAGAGAAGCTAGGTTTTCGTATCCAGTTCTGGTAACAGAAAAATCTTATCGCCATGGGGGCGGAGCAGCAGCTGGAAAAGATGCAGGAGCGCCAGAACTACCGCAACGTCTGGCACACCGATCTCACCAGCGCCATTGGGGCCGACTGTCCTTGTACTCACCCTCCCTCCTCTCTTTCCCCATCAATTTCTTCTCTATCTAAAGCTATATACATATACATATACATATACATACATACATACATATATGTATATATGTATGTATCTATGTATGTAGGCATGTATTGATCGTGCTATGTCATATATATATATATATTTATATATTAATTTTCTATGTATATATATTTTAATTTTCTTTCTTGATTCCCTGATCGGTTGATTTGTTTTGATTTACGTTTGTGCAGATTGCTGCTTAGCAGTGTGGTGGTAAGTCCTGTGATCTGTTACTTGAATTTTCTGTGCTTCTTAGATCTGATTTAAAGAATTCGTTTCTTATTTTATTTTTATTTTTTGTGGCATTAATTTGTTGATTTATGTGGTTCTTATTTGAAAAAATTGAGGTTCTAAACTAATTGATAACAGGGTTGATTTTCATTAATTCGATCTATTTCTCCAAACCCCGATACTGGTCTATTGTTTGATCGTGAATTTAGAACTATGGAATTGATCAATTGAATGATTTTTTGCTGATTAAATTATTGAATTTCCCTAACCTACATTACAGATGCTTGTTTTCATTTTGGGGGTCTGTTTTTATGTATAATGTAAAATCTGTCCTCTTTTATGTATGTGTGTGTATATATATATATAGGCAACTTCAATATTCAGGTTTAAGATTATTAGGAATGAATAAGAACTTTCAATTGATTTCATAAATCTATATTGCTCAGCAAGTATGAACAATTCCCCTGTACTTGTTGCAGAAATATTTACCAGTTGAAGTTTGTTGTTTTCTCTATTTGATATTAAATTTTCTTGTGGAAATGCAACATTGTTGCTAATAGGATGATAGATCTACTCTTATATGCAATGTTGCCCATTCTACGACTAACTGAAGAGTTAAGAGTTTAGAAAGGGACTTGGGAAGCATGTTAGGGGAAAAATGCCAATGTCAATTCAGCAACAAAGCCAACAAAAAGTCAAATCAAGAAAAGAAAAAAGGAGCCTTAATCCTCAATTACATGTGGTTGATTTCGTGATTTTATTTTTAATTTGATTTTAACTCTATGCAATTCTTGCTTTTGGGTTTTACTTTTGTACCTTGTGAGGTGTCTCTATGGATTTTGCTTTCCTTCCATCTCACACTGCAACTAAGTTACCCTCTACTTCATTGCAGTGCCCCATGTGTGTCCTACTTGCTTCGGAAGCGAGCGCTTTATAATGACATGTCAAGGTAATTCATGCTATCTAATCTCGAGTCTGGTAATGACTGACCTTATGTGTAACTATTTTTATCCACATCTGTCATAGGTATGTTTGCTGTGCTGGTTATATGCCCTGCAGTGGTCGATGTGGAGAAAGCCATTGTCCTGAATTGTGCCTTTGCACCGAGGTACAATAGTAATTCGAATTTGGTTTCCTGTGCTTCCTTTTCTAATTGTGTATATCATTCATCTCCAAAAGTTGTAGTTTAATTCCTACTCGCTGCTGGATATCTGCAATTCCCTATGTTTCCATCTATCCTATTCTTTTTTCTTTTTCTTTTTTTGGTTTCCTCTGCTTCCTTTTCTAATTGTGTGTAGACATCTGACTTAAATGAAGATTGAGGAAGAAATTAGCGCTCTACTACTAGATATCATATACTTTAATTGTCAGGAGGGAGGAGACTGAAAAATAAATAAATAAATAAATAAAAGACAAGAATATGGTTTTTCTGTTTAAGAGGCCACTCAGTGGGTTGTAGCATTTCCTCATCTCTGCAGATCACTTATTTGCTTTGAATGTCTTCCATCGTAGTAATTTTTCTTCACATATTACATTAATTTCTTATGATAAGCTGAATGAATTGAAATTTAGATTTTCCATAATAGGTTGGGCATCATTAGCTACCGAGAATGTCATCATCATCCTTGCCTTTATCCCATATTGATTGTGTAGGCCACATGTATTCTCCTTTTCGATTCTTTCCTTTATACACCATGTCTTCTCTTAATTTTAATTTTTTTAAGCTGTTTTCAATTACTTCATCCCATGTAAGCTTTGGTCAGCCTCTTTGGCTTCCAAGAATGTCCTCCAATTCATATCTAGAGCCAGAAAGTATGGCTGAAAACCTATATTTTTAATTTGAGCTATTTGAAAATTTGATATCTTTTCCATCAGAAGCAATTCTGTCATGATACTTATTAGTATACTTCCCGGTAGTTCCTTTAGGATTTTGCTTGCTCATGGATCCTTACAGTCCGATATCTGAGTCCCTCTCCTTGGAAGAGAACTCCATTCATTACGTCTCCTCATCTATGCTATCCATGAACACATGTCCTGGTGTCCAGATTGATGTCATTGTTGCTAGATGCTGAAAGAACCCGTATCAGACAACTACTACTAACAAAATTTAGGAGTAAATAGAAATTACAAATAATTCCAGAAAGCTATGTCTATTTGATTGGGACAGTCTGCGTTCTGATCTCCAGACTGAAACGCAACTTTCATGAAGGCAGGATAGAGCGAGAGAGAATATGTGATGGAGTGCACAAGCGTAGAGTTCACTACCACCACTACTTATGTGAAGTGAAAGGGAAGGGACAAAGGAATGCACAAATAAGGATCTTTGTTATGTTTCTCCAAATTTTGCAAGGAATGCACAAATGAGGATCTTTGTTATGTTTCTACTTCTGGTTTCTTCTCCATGTGTATCGTAGTAGAGTTACCTTCATGTTTCTATATAGCATTTTATAAAAGTAATTCTTTTTCACAGTAATTCCCTGTAAGTTCTTGACTAAGCATTTGCTGCCAGTTATGCTGTCTATATAGCATCCATCGTTGCTAGTATTTTAAAAAATAATCTTTTTGTGAATGAAACTCTAGGTGACTTACTGTGGCTACTGGGCAATTTTGCTGTTGCAGTAATGATACATATTTAGCAGGAGTTGTTGCGTCAGCCCATATTTTTGTCTCTGTTTCTTGCTCTGATTTGTGATCTTAGGCTTTTCTATGCTAGCTGTATCCCTAGAGAATGATTGCCTGTTTCCGAATGAATACCTCCTTATTGCTTTGTAAAAAAGACATTTTAGGAAATTGTCTTCCCTTGATAGCCATTTTACATGAAGGAAACGGATGCTTAAAATGATTCTAGGTTTGTAATTTACATATCCAAAGCCTATTCCTTCTGTTCTTATTTTTAATTGTTGGAGCTGTATAGAACACATTTTCCACTTGTTATCAACTCTCTTCTTATTTTGAAAATTTTCAGGTTTTCCTCTGCTTCGGAAATTCAGTAGCCTCAACACGATTTCTGTTGCAAGATGAGTTCAACATACAGACAACACAATGTGATAATTGCATTATTGTACTCTCTCTCTCTCTCTCTCTCTCAAATTCGTATCACGTCATATGCTTTTGGTTAAAACATTTCTTCCTTGTATCTAGGGTTTCATGGTCTGCCTACAACAAATTGCATGCATATTTTCCATAATTGCGTGCATTGTTGGAAGTGATGAACTTCGAGAGGCTTCTCAGATACTAAATTGTTTGGCAGATCTGGTTTATTGCTCGTAAGGCTTTCCTTCCCCAACTACTCACTCATTGTTAACACTGAGTTCAAGTAATTATAAAATATCCTTCTGATATACTGTTAATTTTTTTTGTTTGTGCAGAGTTTGTGCATGCATGCAGGTATGCAAGAGATAAATAATTTACTTTGCAAATCGGTAATTATAATAATATCAATTTAATTTCATGGGAAGTGCTTGACAAAGAATTCTATGCAAAAGAAATCCACTTGGACAAATGTTGCTAGACACTTTGTTATATTAAATGGAAACGGTTGTCATTTTATTTCTTGTGTTATGTACATACATATCATGTCATCAATACATAGGTTGATATTGATGTTAAGTATTGCAGACACAACACAAGGTCGAAATGGACAAACGTGATGGGAAGTTTGGGCCACAGCCGGCGATGGCAGTTCCCCCTGTCCAGCAGATGTCACGGCTTGATCAGCAATATCCTCCCGCTGTTGGATATGCTCCTCAACCTGCTTATGGACAGCCCTATGGTTATCCGCCCCCTGCTCAGGCTCAAGGCTACCCTCCAGCCGGTTATCCTCCTCCTGCTCAGGCTCAAGCCTACCCTCCAGCCGGTTATCCTCCCCCTGCCTATCAAAAGTGATCCTTCTGGTGTGTGGTACATTGTTTGCTAGAAAAAAAATCGTATTATACTTACCTGCGTATCAACAATTGTTGGCATGGCATGCTATTATATTGAACTTGGAGGAGTGGTATGGTGATTAGTTCTTGGTGTGTTTTAAATAATTGATTATAGATTGAAAACAAATTACTTGTCAAACATAGATATAACCCAAATATTATACCCTCTTATTTATTTACCTACAATGCGTGGCTCTATGTAAATCTGAATCTGTGCATAGCTTAGCATTCACTCATTTTGCAACTTCTGGTGTTAATAAGAGACTTGGAGCTCCTTCTGTGATTTCATTCAGTTTCTTATGCTTTGAACTCTGCAACTTTTTTTGCGAATCTTAAAAACAGTTTAATTTGATAGTTTCCAAAAATCACAAAAAAATTAGGAGTAAACCCTAATCACTAAAATAAGATAAATGCTAAATGTTAGTGAAATTCGAGCATGATTTGATCATTAACAAAAAAAAAAAAAAAAAAAAAAAAATGGTCAGCACAGAAAAATGCAAAACGAGATTCTAAAATGATGGTTTTTAAAAGTGTCACGAGTTGAGTTGGTAGTTGAAGATACAATATTCCGTTTCATCTCTCTCACTCTTACTTTCTCTCTCTCTCTCTCTCTTCTCCCTAGCTCCTTCCTTTACTTTCCACCCGTCATGGTCTATTTATAGGCCATGACCCTCTTTTGTAGTTAACCAATTACTTTGGGCTTATAGCCCAAAGTTCTCTTCCTTCTGGGCTGGGTCTTGTAATGGGCTTGACCTTCCTCGGTGGACCCCCCATGTTCGGCCCACTCCAGGGTGCTTTGACATGGATCATTTTTCAATCATTCGACCCGATCTCGTTTCCGCGATCCATATCCGGTCTATGCCACTTGCCGCATCCTCAACTGCCCCCATAATTACCCCTTATTGACTAGGGGGTAATTATTAGAGGCTGCTAATGATGACCTGACGGCTCGAGGAGATCGTGTGGGAGAATGGACGGTTAGATCTAAGGGTCGGCGCTTCGAGATTCAAAAAGACAACCCATCGCTTTCCTGACTCCTCGACTCCGGGACTTATCTCGTCTTTATAAGCTCCATCAACTCTCCATCGATCCTCTTTACCGTCTCCATCTCACCTTTTGCTGCTTGAATCTTCTCCGGCGATCTCTTGCGAAAGATCTTCCTTCCAGTGGCTTTGCAATACTTCTCTGCCGTTTTCACTTTCTAAGGTTAGTTTCATTTGCATTTTTCTTTTGGAAGACTTCTTTCCTCTCCCCGGAATCCTCATCCACTCACACCATGATAGTAGATCTAGACGTTCTTCGCATGAAACTTCAACTTCCTGATGATGTAGAAATTAGAAACTGCCCCCGGGAAGTGAATATTAGAACCGGTGCTGGCCTTCTTCCCGGCGAGGCCTTGTTTTCACTCCTCCATCTCAATCTCCTTAGATTTCCTCTACATCCTTTCTTTTGCTATGTTTTAACAAGCTAAATCTTTCCCCTTTACAAGTAAACCCCAATTTCCTTAGGATTTTATCCGTTATGCTACTCTTGATTCGTGACAGAGGTCTGGATCTGGACCTCGTAGATCTCCTCCTCTGTTACAAGGTCAGCAAGATCAGAACTGACGAACTATTCTACCACTTTTTCCCCATTGAGAAGAGGTCTATCTGCACGGATAAGATCAAATCTAAGAAAGACTGGAGGAAAAACATCATTGGGGTTAGGGGAGCCTGGTTCTCTCCAGCTGCGGAGGGTTTCCCTATCCCGAGCGCTTTCGGAGAGTGCTCTGTCTCTTTTTACAAGAAATATAAAAACCATAAGAGTGACTGTCATTGCGAGATCTGCATTCCTCGTTTTTGTTCTTTCTTGTGCCATTCCTTAGGCATTCCTTGTGATGACTTGAGTTACAGTGTGTGCAGGGATAGGGATAACTACTTGAAGCGGTACGTTCTGACCAACGTTCCCTCTTGCTCGGACCTTCTCACCTCAGATAATCTCCTCGACATCTCAGTCCTCAGCAAGACAATGAGCCAACTCCAGATCCCTTCCTTCGGTAGGAAGAAATCTACCCCCAGGCCTGCTATCACTCCTGCGTCAATCTCCTCACCGGCTTCAGCATCTTCCTCCACTACTCTTTCTGACACAACTCCTTCCACCGATTCATCCGCGACGGCTGCTGACTCGGTCGCTAACACGGCGACTGCCAGCCCGAACGTTGCCCCCTCTGCCAACAATCCTCCTGGCTCTATTGCTGCTTCCGCACGGGAAAAGGCCAGAGGAAAAAGGCATCAACCTGACAGTGCTCTGAGCATGGATGACGTTCCCTTGTCTCAGAGGGTTAGGCCCTCTAGACCAAATGTGATTTCCCTGGCGAGACCTCCTCAAGCTAGGCCCCCCACCCCTTCTGGGCAAGCCTCCGCTTCAGGAACGGCGCCATGGAGCCCTCGCTTCATCCGAACAGACGGATCGTCTGTGAAGCCGACCGAGACCATATTCAAAGATGGTCAGACCGCGATGGCCTACTACAGGAGTATGTGGACTCCCAAGGACATCGAGGTAGCCAAAGGTCTATCTCAGAGGGAGGTGTTCAGCCGATTCCCCTTATCCGCCATGGAGGTAACTTCTACCCCTTAGTCGATAAATCTTTACATACTCTTGCCACTTATTTTCTTCTAACCATCTGCTCGGCTTAACCAGTTGTCCTGTATATCTCTACAGACCTTGTACGGGATGATGGCTATGCAAAAACAAGTTGAGCAGGTGAATGCCAAGGTCCGCGCGCTCTCTGACAGCCTTAGCGCAGCGAACAAGGAGAACGATAACTTAGCCGCTCAGAAAACCGGGTTGATGGTTCAACTCGGTAAAACTGAAAAAGAGAGGGATTTGCTGAGGAGGGAAACCGACTCTCTTCAGGACGAGAGGAATGCTCTCCAGCTTGAAAAGAGTATCTGGCAGACTGAACGGGAATCCCTTCGGGCCGAGAAGGAAGAACTGCTTCGCCTTCTGAATGACGAGCAGTCCGCTCGGATGGCCTTTGAGAAGAGGGCCCTGGACGAGCGCAACGCTTTACTTGATACCATCAGCAGGGTAAATGGTGGTATGCTAGCTCTGCACGCTCGATTCTCTAGAGTCAGGGCCCTCAGATATGCCCAGGGGTTCCGAGAGGGTTACGCCGATCGCATCCCGGATGAGGGTCAGATTGGCTCTACCCCTGATGATGTTGATAAGGATCTGGATATTGACCCTCCTGGTGTTTATATCGATCCGGACTCAATCGCTGCAGAGGGGATATTTGATGAATGTCAGGAGATTGCGTCTTCTCGAATCACTCCTACTCCTCCTGCCGCTCTGATTTTGGACATTTTCCCTGTGTCCACTTTGACTCCATTTGCCGTTACTGCTGAAGAAAACCCTCAGCAGAATGATTCTTCCAACGCTGCAGAGGGTAGGATTCAACAGAACGATTCTGTCATTCATCTTGACTCTCCACCTCGTGAGGATGGCGACACCACCAACAATGAGGAGGTGGCCCAACATCATCAAGAGGCCGACGAGGCAAACGCCTCTTAGTTAGGACCTCTCTTATTTTTCTTTTTCTTTTTTGTTTAAATGTACTGACTTTGGCATATGTGCCATCTTTACACCTCATTCTTTGTAACCTTTTGAAGCTTATTTAATGAGATGGCCGACTTTTGATCAAAATTTTTTGTGTCAACTCTTTTTTTTTTTTTTTTTTTTTTGCAAATGTTTAGTGTTCGGCTCATTGTGCCGACTGCAACTTACTTTGCTCAAGTGCCTGGCGTTTGGCTAGAATGCCACTTGCCACTTGGCCCTCTAATTTTCTTTTAGCAAGTGTTTGGTATTCGGCTCATAGTGCCAGCTGCCACTTACTTTGCTTAGGCGCCTGGTGCTCGGCTGGAATGCCCCTTGCCACTTGGCCTTTTATTTTTCTTAGCAAGTGTTTGGCGTTCGGCTCATAGTGCCAGTTGCCACTTACTTTGCTTAAGTGCCTGGCGCTCGGCTGGAATGCCTCTTGCCACTTGGCCTTTTATTTTTCTTAGCAAGTGTTTGGCGTTCGGCTCATAGTGCCAGCTGCCACTTACTTTGCTTAAGTGCCTAGCGCTCGGCTGGAATGCCTCTTGCCACTTGGCCTTTTATTTTTCTTAGCAAGTATTTGGCGTTCGGCTCATAGTGCCAGCTGCCACTTACTTTGCTTAGGATTTTACAGAGGAATGCAATCTTTATAAATCTCAAAAACTCATACATTCAACTGTTTTCAATTTAAAATAAACAGAATTTAGTACTGAATCTCAACTTTTTATTGATAATACCTCTATAGAGAAGTAGCATTCCAAGGCTTGTTAACCAGCCTTCCGGACATGGTTTCTAAGGTATATGCGCCTTTTCCTATGGCCTCTGTAATTCTGTATGGGCCTTCCCATGGTGGCATCATCTTTTTGACTATCCCCACCTTCTTCTTCAGAACCATGTCACCTGGCCTAAAGTCTCTGTGCTTTACTCTCCTGTTATGGCTGTTCGCAAGTGTCTGCTAGTAAGAGGCGAGCCTCACCGCTGCTGCGTCTCTTTTTTCTTCCAGCAAATCGAGGTTAAACCTTAGCATATTGTCATTATGCTCACGGCTCCAGGCCAAGCTTCGAACAGTCGGAACTAAGTGCTCAACCGGTATAACTGCCTCGGTTCCATACGCCATGGTGAATGGACTTTCTCCGGTCGGTCTTCTTGGGGTCGTTCTGTAGGCCCATAGGACGTTCGGCAGTTCATCTAACCACCTTCCTTTCCTTTCTTCTAGTTTCTTCTTGATACAAGTAAAGATTGTTCTGTTTGTAATTTTCGCTTGTCCATTGGCCTGTGGGTGACTTACTGCTGCCAGCTTTTGATTAATTCCATACTCCTCCAACAGCTCTCTTACCTGCTTACTGTCAAGGTTGGTACCATTATCTATGACGATTGACCTCGGAACACCGAACCGGCAAATAATATTACTCCAAATGAATTATCTCACATGAGTTTGAGTAACGCTCGGGCACGGCTCTGTTTCCATCCACTTAGTAAAGTAGTCTGTAGCCAGCAACACATACTTGTTCTGAGCTCTGGCAGTTGGTAGAGGACCAACTATATCTATCCCCCATTGCGCGAAAGGCCATGGTATGGCCATTACATGCAAGTCTTCAGGCGGTTGGTGAATCAGTGGTCCGAACCTTTGACACTTATCGCACCTTCTGGACAATTCTTCCGAATCTCGCGACATGTTTGGCCAGAAGTACCCTTGAGCCATTGCTTTGTGTGCTAATGATCTCCCCCCTGAGTGGTTTCCACACACACCTTCATGAATAGCTCGTAATATTTGCCGAGCCTCTGTGGGGGTAACGCACTTTAAGTACGGTCCGGAAAAGGATCTTCTGTATAACTGGTTATGCACTATGGCGTACTTTGCAGCATTCGCTTTGATTTTCCTAGCCTCATTTCTTTGTTCAGGTAGAGTACCATCTCGAATGTAAGTTATGATCGGATCAATCCAACTTGGCTCATATAGAATAACATTCACTTGCCAATGATCTGAGCCTGAAGGCTCTTCGAAAATGGATGGCTGGTTTAAAATTCCCACTGGAACCACCCTTGCCAATGTTTCTCCAGAACCCGAGGCGCTACACGCTAGCCTGTCGGCATCTCTGTTACACTCCCTCGGAATTTGAATGAATTCAATTTTTTCAAAGTTCTGTGCCTCCCGCATAACAGCAGAACGATATGCTTCCATCGTTTCGTCCTTGGTTTCATATTCACGTCTCACCTGCCGAACGACTAACTGTGAGTCGCTGAAAACATTCAAATTCCTGACCTTAAGTTATTTGGCAAGCTTTATTTCTGCCAGCAACGCTTCATATTCGGCCTCATTGTTCGTGGCTGCGAATTCAAGACGAAGCGCTTGGCTTAAGGATGTACCTTCTGGTGTCTGCAGTTTGATCCCAATGCCTGCACCCATCTGATTTGAGGATCCATCAACGAAGAGTTTCCATAAGCACTTAGAAAGATCCTCCTCCACGTCTTCTGAATCACATTCTAGGAGAAAATCTGCCACCACCTGCCCTTTGACTGTTGTTCTAGGTTCGTATGTGATATCAAATGAGCTTAACTCTATGGCCCACTTCGTCATTCTTCCTGAGAGATCTGGTTTGTGGAGGATTATTCTGATAGGGAAAGTGGTTAGAACGATAATAGGATGGGATTCAAAATAATGCCTGAGCTTTCTTTTCGCATGCACTAGCGAGAGTATCACCCGCTCTGCCTTTGAATAATGCCTTTCGGCCTCAGTCATTGTTTTGCTAACATAGAACACTGGGTATTGCTTCCCTTCTGCGTAGCGGATCAGAACGCCACTTGTTGCAATGCTGGATACTCCGAGATACAGAAACAGCTTCTCGCCCGACTCTGGAGCTGACAATACCGGAAGATTCTGCATATATTTTTTCAGAGCAGTTAACGCTAGGCGTTGTTCATCTCCCCAAACCTGCCTGCCGTGGCTTCGGATTGTGTCAAAAAATGGTTTGCATCTATCTGAGAATTTGGAAATGAAACGGCTCAGTGCAGCAATCCGTCCTATAAGTGTTTGCACCTCTTTGATTGTCGTTGGCTCGACATTCTTAGTCAGAGCATCTGCTTGGGCAGGGCTTGCCTCGATACCTCTGAGATTAACCACGTGCCCTAGGAATTGGCCTGAACTTACACCGAACGAGCACTTGGTCGGATTGAGCTTCATCCCATACCGCCGCAAAACATCAAACACGCCTCGAAGATGCTGCACATGATCGGCTTTCTTCTTACTTTTGACCACCATATCATCAATGTAAGCCTCCACTGTCTTCCCTATTTGTTCCTTGAAAATCTTGCTAATAAGTCTTTGGTAAGTTGCCCCGGCGTTTTTTAGTCCGAACGGCATAACTTTGTAGCAATACGTCCTGCGTTTAGTAACGAAAGAAGTTTTTTCTTCATCAGCGGGGTCCATGGGGATCTGATTATAACCCAAATAAGCATCTAAAAAGGTCAAACGTTCATATCCAGTTGTTGCATCCACCATCTGATTAATCTTTGGCAGCGGGAAGCTATCCTTCGGACAAGCTTTGTTTAAATTGGTAAAATCAATGCATACGCGCCATTTCCCATTTTTCTTTTGCACAACGACCACATTCGATAACCAGTCGGGGTAGTGCACTTCTCTTACGAACCCCGCATCAAGCAGCCTATCAACTTCCTCGGCAATAATTCGATTGCGCTCGGGGGCAAACCGTCGCTGCTTCTGTTTTACAAGTTTTGCATTGGGATTAACGTTCAAGGAATGACAGGATACCGAAGGATCGATCCCGGGCATGTCCAGGTGACTCCATGCGAACACATCTGCGTTTTGAGACAAAAAATCAACTAATTCTTGCTTTTTCTCCTCAATGAGTCGTTCCTCTACTCTGGTTGTCCGTTCCTGTAACGACTCAAAACTAATACTTTTTAAACAAAAAAAATTCGGCATGACCTCCCCTAAAAATAGGCCTATCACAACCTATTTAATTGCATTTTTAACCTGTCATGGCTCAAATTCCGAATTCAAGGCAATAAAAGATAATGATACAACCAACTAATCTAGACAATGCTTCAAACTAGAATTATCCATCCATTCATCAACAAGTTGCATACTATCAAATCCCCATCCAAAACATCATCAATACTTTAGTTATATTACATGACAAAGTTCCATAAAATAATTATACATCTTTGCACTTCTAGTGTTTTACAAAATAATGGGGAATATACAAAGATACAAAAGTGGACTTTTAACGCCGTTTAAACTTGAGGTGGGTTGTCATCCACCAGTTCCTTTCCAAGACCTGAAAAAAATATATATAGATATAGGGGTGAGCATATAGCTCAGCAGGTGACACTTAAGACACAATTCTTGTGTCCTAGTGAATCCAAATAAAGCATAGGCCAATGGGAGATTGGGGACATGCATTGAAGAGGAAAAACAATTACAAGTACAAGTCAAATTCAATCACACACAAATGCAAATGGAGTGAGATGCAATGCATGCTAAAGTCACTCCCCGTTTTCATTCTCAAAACCATCACGTTCAAAGTTAATGTAACCCCCTTTGGTAACCCCGCCGCGACGAGAGGAGGATTGGCTACCGTCCCTAGGCCCTTGGTGACCCTGTGGCGCCGTCGAGGGGCCCGAATAGCTCAACCACGCTAGGGTACTCTCCCTAGTCCTCCCTAGGCTACATTAACCTCCGGCCCGTTGGTAATCCCGCAGCGACCGGGTTTGTCAAAACCAATTTTTTTCCAAAACATTCATTCCCAAATCCCCATTTTCATTTCAAGACAACCACTTCCCTTTTTCATGCAACCCAATGAGATGTAGGCTCATGTCATGATCTCAATATAATGACAAATGGGAACTTAGCACAATAATAAATAAGCATGTTCTCATGGCATCATTATAGCATGTTAGTAACCTCAAAAAAATGTAAACAACCATCACATAGACATACTTTTCATTCAACCATGTTATACACATTTACATAACTATCATGTTGTCAATTAAATCATTTTAATCAAAATCAACAACAATTAAATATGCTATAACACACATAGAGGAGCATGGTTCATTATAGAGCAAGATTCCATGGCTTAAGATGTCCCTACCTCACAATCCAAGCCGAAATCCCTAGAATAGGTCCTCCAAATTCGAGCTCCAAGGAAGACTCAAATCTGGAAATTGATAGTATGGATGCGTAGAGCTCGCTACAAGCTTTGTTTTGCCTCAAACGGCACCTCAATCCGACAAAAGATGAAGGAGCAATCAACAATGGAAGTTGAAGTGAAAAGAAAAGAAAAAAGAAAAAAGGAGAAGCCGAGAGCAGTCGAGAGAGAGAGAGAGAGAGAGCAGCAGAGACCAATTTTGGTCTCACAAATCACTTAAAAAGTGATGTGGGTCCCACTTTATTTTATATTTCTTTTCTCTTTTTCTTTTTCATTTAAATCACACACCACACATACACAATTATGTACACAAACTTCACAGTTCCGGTCGGAACTGATCGATCTGCACATCAAGCAAGGGTTTTTCAGTCAAGCCCTCTGGTTCCTCCTCTCCATTCTGCCTAGAGGGAGGCTCCTGTAATTGCTATCTCGGACTTACTGAACGAATGGGAGCTTTCCCCTTTCCGGCATGTTTCAGCATTACAGAGTAACATTATTTAGCTGCAACTTGGTCTCCATGAATGTCAATCACTTTGGTTCCGTCTGGTGCTAGGCATCTCATTACCTGATGCAGAGTGGAAGGAACACCTCGAACCCTGTGGATCCACCCTCTGCCCATTAGAAGATTGTAAGAGGGATGAATTTCAACAACTACAAAGGTTTCCATCAAAACCCTCTCGGCAGCATGCACCGCTACCTCCACCGTGCCGACGGGCTCCATTCGCTTTCCATCAAACCCTACTAGTGGATTCCCGGTGGATTTTAGCTGATCCTGTTTGATCTCGAGCCGATCGAATGTATCTCTTGGCACGATGTTCGCACTACTTCCAGGGTCAATTAGAACTCTGCGCACCAAGCATTTGGCCACTGTCAAACTTATGACCAGCGGGTCCTTGTGAGGGATCTGAACACGCAACAAGTCTATCACGTCAAACTTTATCTGCTTTGATGCGCTCTGCTGGTGCAGAGTGTTTACACTGCCTATCCTTCTCTTCATCCGTGCCTGACGAAGGCGTGTTCGAAGCAATTCATCTGATTCCTCAGCAGGTTCTGGCCGACTGTGAATTGCATTAATTACTCGAACTGGTTGCGTGTTGTGAGAATTCGACTTCTGATTCTTCTTCACATGCTCCATTGGCCGGTTCTGCTCCACCGCTGGTCCTTGAATATAACTTGCGAACTCCCCTCTGGCTATCAGCATCTCTACATGTCTCCTTAGGTTCCTGCATTCGTTAGTCTGGTGGCCAAAATCAGAATGAAATGCACAGTGTTTAGACTGATCCCTCTGTTCGAGAGGTTGCCTAATTGGTAAAGGAGGTCGAAACTTATCTTTATTTTCTTGGTACAGTCTTACTAGGGTAACTTTCAATGGAGTAATCAGCTCTTCCTCTCTGGGCCTCTTCTCAGATTTCCACGAGGAGCGTTGCGGTTGGACCTGTTTTTGCCTGATCTTTGCTTTGGTCTTTTCTTCCGTGGATATAACGGATGTCTTCCGAGCGTTTGCCGCCTCTTCTTCTTCCAAGCGTACAAATCCATCGGCTCTTTCGTTGAGTTTATCCATAGTCCTCGGCGTGTTGACCACCAAACTTGTGTGGAACGGGGTGCCACGATTCATAGCCAGAATGAATGCTTGAACTGCCGTTGAAGGATGGCATTCAATAACCATGCTCTTGGTAAGGTTAAACCTGGTTAGGAAAGCCTGGAGACGCTCTTCAGCGTGTTGCTTCATTGTGAATAAGCTCGAAATATCTTTCGCTGGACGCTTGTTTCCATAGTATTGGCTTATGAACCGATCGCACAGGCTTCGGAAACTATCCACCGAACCCCTCGGCAGGTTCTTGAACCAATTCAGAGCTGGTCCGGCTAGACTCGTAGGAAAGCACTTGCACATCAAAGAATCATTCTCAGTGTTTAGAGCCATTTTCAGCTGGATGTGATACATATGATCGATCGGATCAGTTGTTCAGTCGAATAGAATGAAAACGGGCATGGAAAATTTCCTCGGACTCGAAGCATTCAGAATCTCATCGGTGAACGGTGAATCCACCGTTCGAGCTGCTGAACGGAGTGCTTCATTCTCCCTCTGGAATCCCGCGGCTGCTCTCTGGTCTACTGATCTCCTCTCTGAGCTGTGATAGTCGAACATCGTCATGGAAGGCCGGTAGGTCGGATCGAATGATCTATCCTCAACAAAGTCCTTGCGCCATGAAGGCATAGCTTTCTGACGAATCAACTATGTTGTTTCACCTCGGCTGAGCATTTCTTGATGTGGATCAAAAGTCATCGCTTCGTTTCGCCCGATCTGCTCACGCCGTGGATCCATGTGAATCGATCCTTCACGATCATCCATACGACGAAGATTTGGCGGTAGACCGTCTCGCCGGATTTCCTCGCGGTGAGGATCAACTAGATCGTTTTCAACCTCTTCACCGTGATGTGCTGCATCGGTACGTGCACCTTCTTCGCCTATCGGAAGTGGTCGTGGAATTACTGGAGCTTCTTGACGCTGTATTTCATTCCTTAGATCTGCATTTTCTCTCCGGAGAGCTTCGATCATGTTCATCAACTCATCGAGTTTCACTTGCTGGATGTTCTCAACCGTATTAGAGTTGTCACCCCATATCATGATTCCGGATCGAAGCAAAAGCATGAATTACGAACTTCGAAACAGATCTAAGCGTTACCGATACAAACTCCGCTAGATCTGGGCTTAACTTTACCGAATCGTGATCGCTGTTTGCTAGATCTGAACTTTTCTAGCTTCAAACTCGTCGGATCTGACTGCAACTGAGCAAATCGCAATTGCGTCCTTCCAAAGCAAATGCCTCAGAATCCACAATAATCAAGAATTCTCTCGGAGCAAACTACAATCTCACTGATCTGGATTCAACTTCCAGAAGTTACACTGCATATTCACAAACTCGATTGAACTAATATGGTACTGATCGGGCTCGAATTGATCTTCGTCCTCGATTCCCACAGACGGTGCCAATTGAAGATACAATATTCCGTTTCATCTCTCTCACTCTTACTTTCTCTCTCTCTCTCTCTTCTCCCTAGCTCCCTCCTTTACTTTCCACCCGTCATGGTCTATTTATAGGCCATGACACTCTTTTGCAGTTAACCAATTACTTTAGGCTTATAGCCCTAAGTTCTCTTCCTTCTAGGCTGGGTCTTGTAATGGGCTTGACCTTCCTCGGTGGACCCCCCATGTTCGGCCCACTCCAGGGTGCTTTGACATGGATCTTTCTTCAATCATTCGACCCAATCTCGTTTCCGCGATCCATATCCGGCCCATGCCACTTGCCACATCCTCAGTAGTATTGATCGTTGAGCTAATTCCAATCAAGAATGAGTGTCTGCAAGTTGAGGAGGACTGATTAAAAGCCTTGCCATTGGGTTTTTGGCAGATCAAAATGGTCTTCAACAATCCATTTTACATCTGCTCCCTCCACTTGAAAAGATGGTTACGAATAAAGGGGCTCGTCAAGGGATAGTTGATTTTAAAATTGACACATTTATTCCCGTGTCTCTTTGTGATTGACCGGGATCACGTAGTCCCGAATCATGAAAAATTCCTGAATGAGTCCCATTCACGATATGACTACTATAATATTTTAAAGAGAATTATCTTATGTAGTCTTGTATTTATTATTTGCTTGAAAGGATCTCCTTTTTTACTGTAGATTAGACTTTAGAGGAGAAGTCTTTCTTAACTTGAAAGAAGAGTTATGATGGAATACTTTACAATTCCAAATTTCATATAAATTATTATAAATGATCTTTTATTTATTTTGGTCACTAATATATAAGTTTTACATTTTTAAATCATCTGTTCCCTCCGCTTGAAAAGAAGGTTACGGATAAAGGGGCTCGTCAAGGACATAGTTAATTTTAGTTTTTGTTTATGTTATGGTAAAAAAGTTTAGATTGTTGAGGTTTCTCTATCCAACCGACTGAAATTAAGTTTCAACCAGGGTATAAAAGTAATTTTGCATGTTTTGATTTTTTAAAAACGTGTTTTAGAATGCACAAATTTTATTCAGACAAACACCATTTCTAGAATCCTGAGATCAGCATTTCATCACATCCTCACTTTTTTTTTTTTTTACTTATTTATTTATTTTTACACAATCACAGCTGATTCCAAAAAAATAAAATAAAAAAATGTCATATAAATAGTCACTTGTTTATACAATATGATAGTATTTCATTAGTGAACATTACTTTTCACGACAGATAACATCTGAGCCTCTAAAATACTCCTTACAAAATACATACATACATATATATATATATATATATATAGATACGAGTAGATATGAGGTGGTAACTTAATCAAGGTTTGTTCTTATAATTCCAAAAGCCGCCATTCTAGAATTTCAAAACATTGAAATACATAGAAAAGCACAAACCATCTCAACCATCATATTGAAAGTTTGGATATTTCACTTTGACTATGGTCACTTTATTAAATCACTGAATGGACCTTTTCTCTCCGCTGCTTTGAAGATAAAGAAAAAATATACAATCTATATATATATATATATTTATATATATATACATCTAGAAGGTCCAGTTTAGTCAACATCAAGATCGATCTGGTGTTTAAATTAAAGAGGCCATGTTAATCAGTGATGGATTGATTGACTAATCATACACATAGTAGGAAAATATTGTCATGTTCAGCTTCAGCTCCACGTTAAAATATATTTGTAATGTATATCATTAATCGAATATGTCTATTGTTATGTAAGATAAAGTTTTAATTCTATCAAAGGCCCTGTTTAATAAAATTAAAACTTAAGTACTAAAAATTTTAAAAATTAAATTTTGAAAATTTTAAGAGCTGAATTTTAAGTATTAAAGTCTTTAACATGTAATAAAAAAAATAAATTTTTTTTTTTTTATTTTCATCGTTCAACATTCAATAATAAGTGTTGTTGTCGTCATTTAAAATTTTACCCCATTTTAATTGGTCCTTACCGTTACTGTTTAAAGTGATAGTCAAATTACGTTATTAAACACACTTAATTGAATAAACGCTTAATTTTTTCAGAATTAAATGCTGAATTGAGTTTTTAAACCGTATATGTACATGAATTAAGGTGGTACTCTATCAAAGATTTTCACCTTAAACTGTTTTTAGATGATAACCATTGCATAACTGCTTCTTGAGAGCTTATGGAAAACCATGGTCGTAAAAAATTTTGCTTGATTGACAGTAGGGGTGGCAAATTACGACACGACAATACAATACGAACCCAACACAAGTTAAAAGGGTTTGGGTTTAGCATAAACGGGTTTGGATCATAAAAGAATCGACACGATTAACTTGTTTACTTAACCGTGTCGGGTTAGAGTTGAGGAGTTCAATCCGTGTAATCCGTTTATAACCCATTTAACTCAATATATTATAATCGTGATTATGACTTATGTAATATGTTACTTATTTAAACCCAATTATTATGAATAGTTAAGTCATTTCAATATAAACCTTATTTATACCTTATGATTTTTCTTTTTATTTTGAATATTTAGGTTAATTATAACAAATTTTTTCTATTATTTAGAATTTGATTAACACAAAACAAGGTTTATATATTGAGTTAGATGGGTCATAAACGGATTACACGGATTGAACTCCTCAACTCTAACCCAACCTGTTTATTTAGTATTTGATTAAATATTAAATGTCTCGTTTTGATAAACAGGTCATTTAAACGGATTAACACGTTTACCTGTTTAAATAAACAGGTTGGGTTAGTGTTGAGATTTTTTATACGATTATTAAATAGGTTGGGTTTGGGTTTACCATTTTAGTATAATACCCTTATACATAAACAAAATCCACGAATACGAATTACCACCCCTAATTGACAGTATCTAATAACTGTTAAAAAAAAAAAAAAAAACTCCATTAAAAAATATCTGTTTTCGTACCATTATCTTTTATAATTCTTTAAAAATAAATTTCTAGATGACAACCAATTAATATTTTTAGCAATGCTATTCAATAAATTTCTCTCTCTCTCTCTATATATATATATATATATATTGTTCTGAAAATCCAAATAGCCTATTGGATTCTTGAAAGTCCTGAGTTGAAGTCTGTGTCTGTGCATTTATGACTTTCGTACCTTATTAGATTCATTCCTCACACTTGTATAAAAAATTGGTAGTCAGGCATGAAAATACAGCGCTGAGACAAACCCAAATTACCATAATTTAAATGATTCAATGATTGAGAGTGTGTGTTCCACCATGTGGCTTCACTGTTTGAACCTGAACGCTCATACATCTATTAGATATTTAGAATTTCTCCTGTTTTTGGAGTGGGATGGAATGGAAGCGCCAAAGCAATAAAATTTAAATAATTCGTAAAAATAAAAACAAGAATGGATGAATGCAAGAGCTAGCACACTCGTTGCTCAAGTGATATCAATTTTAAAGAATTGTGAGGTAAGTAAATCAAGCTAACAAGTGAGAACTGAGAAGATCCAAAACACGTAAATAAATGTTGAATCATTGAATGACAAGATCCAAATAAAATGCAAAGATCTATGAACCACCAACTCACTCCATTTTGGTAGGGTCAGCAATTATCATTCATTATTTGATTGTCCTCCCACACAAATTTCAATTAAAACTACTACGGTAATCATTAGGGGAAAACAAATTTTTAGTGAATTGTTTAACTTAAACTAATTCTTTACACATTTCATTTCTTAAATCGAAAAAGAAAAAACATTTTAACCACTGGATCGAATAAAAATATACAAAATTGTTGTTATTTTGTTCTTCAATATTTATTTTGATATATATAATTTTTTTTTTTTTTAGCATATATACATACATTATACATATCAACCTCAACCATCTCCAACTAACCCACCAAACAAAACCCAGAAAACGCAAAAGCCCACTACAATTTACAAACCGATAATCGGCGAGTACTCGCCGTTGAAATCCGAAGCGGCCCAAACCGGCTCGTTGAACCCGCACTGCATATCGTCGGGTATGAATCGAGTCCGACAGAGCGGACACGTGTTCTGATCGTGGTCCATCCAACGGTCCAGACAGCTCCGGTGGAATATGTGCCGGCAATTCGTCAGCTGCCTGACCTCATCGCCGCTCTCGAATTCGTACAGACACACCGCGCAGCTCTCCGGCGGGTCCACCAGGTCCGAGAACCTAACGACGGGCAGGAGCTCCCGGAGCCGAACCGCCGATACTGAGGGAAACCCGGACAAGTTTTCGGGTCGATCCGGATATGCAATGTCGGGCTCGAGAAAATCGCCGAGACCCAGAGAACGAAAAAGGGTCGAAATGAGCTTTCTGATGAAGCCCAGAACGGTAAGAGTGTGGAGGACAAGTTTTGGAAGAAGGAGCTCTGTGTAACCAACTGGAAAACCCATGGCTGTTCAGAGAGAGAAAAGGGTATACAATATAATTATCTATCAACTTCTATATAGATGGTTGTGTATATATATATATATATATAGAGAGAGAGAGAGAGAGAGAGAGAGAGAGAGAGAGGTGTAGTTGCGAATTTGGTTTGGGACTCTTGGTGTGCTTGTGTAGTGTTTCTTGGTTTATATAAGCAGAGTGTGGAAGGAAAGGACGAGAGATGTAAGTTTGGCTTCTAGAGAGAGAAAGAGTTAGAGAGAGAGAGAGGTGGGGGGCAGGGACTGTTATATGGAGGCGTGAAATGTGTTGTAATGTCACTAATGGGCCTATTGTTTTGCAAGAATGACAGTGAAGGGACGTAACACATTGAACAATTGGGCTAAACTTTTCTTTATTTTTTATCACTTATTATATTCTAATTCTTGGACTTTTGTACAGTTGGGCTGTATTAATTTCAAATTATAAACTAGTTACTAAATTTAAATGTAGTTTTTGTAAAGTGAACAAGGTCCACTATTACTTGGGACCTTGGTCATTTAAAAGTAATAAAAGTGACAGTACTAGCTAGGACCTGGGTCGTTTATGTCTGATGATGATGGTTTTTTTTTATTGAAGATTTATCAAAGGCAATTATTGTGTCAAGGAAAAATTAATTCTAGATTGTGTGTGTATATATTTATTTGTGATTAGACCACATTTATACTCGTCAATAGGAATGACTTATTATCTGGGATTGGAGTCAGGTCATATATATATATACATATTAATGGACTTGTTTGGGTCGAGGAACACGTGCTCCATGATTATGTCAATCAAAAGAAAATTGGATGAAATTTAATCAGTTTGAATTGAATTATACTGATTTGTAAAGGAAAAATGAAGTGGGTAAAAATTAATAAATATCAACCAGCATGTGATGGGACCAAAAGAAAAAAAGTTCATTTGCATTGCAATGTCATGTACATGGAATCAAGTACCAGTGTCAAAAATAATAATAATAATAAAAAAAAAAAAAAAAATCAAGTACCAGTATTGGTTCCACCAATTAATCATCACAAGCCCACCCAAAACAAAAGAAAAGAGAAAAAAGAAAAAGAAAAAAAGAAGAAGAATTGCACATTAAAAAAAAAATCTCTTGTGGAAAAGAACACCAATCATGTGTTCGATGAAACCCAGAAACCAAGCCAAGAAATGATAGATCAGGTTAGTAATGGGCAGTGGGTCATATTTCGTTGTCATGGTGTCAATGTTGCATGTTAATATGTGGTGCCACTGACATAGCAAAATGCCTTTTGTGAAAAATATTTTAAATATAATAAAATATCTAATAATTATAATAATACAATTATTAATAGAACAAGTCAAATTGATTCAAGAAAAAAAAAAAAAAATACTATACTTAATTTTAACCTAGTTCAATATATATATATATATATATATATATATATATATATTATTACTACTATTAACTCACTCTATTAACAATTTTTAAATTCACCCTTAAATATGATATGACTTTGTAGAATGATTGAAACAAAATTGAGGTCTCTCTCAAATCCAATCTTTATATCTCTATAGACATGGGTAACATCCAAATATTCCACGGGCCCATAACTTTTTATCATGAAGCCGTTCAAAAAACATATAATGTCCATAAATTGTTTCAATTTTTTTTTTTTTTTTTTTTGACACCGTTTCAAATTATTAAAGGTTATAAATAAATAAGCCCAAATAATTTTTTTTTTTTTTTTTTCCAATGCCCAAATAACTTCAACATTCACATCAAAAGTGGGGAAAAAAAAAAATTATACTTTTTATTAATCACAAGACTATAAAACAAAAAGCTTATAATAGCCCGCTCTGAATTAACCAATTTAAGAAAGGCCTATCATATGGTGTGTCTTATTATCTGGAAGGGTGTGTGTGTGTGTGGTAGAGAGAGTGTGTGGGGGGAGGCCTAACAACCTGCCAGAATGTGGAGAAGAAAAACGTGGCAGTTTGTGAGGCAAATGTGGGTGGGGGACGTGCTGCATCTTAAACCTGTCCGACTGTCTGGCAAGGCCACGGCACAATGGGCCCACCACCCCCATCCACATATACTGATATACATACATGCAATATACTGTACTATACTATCCGTCTACTCTGAAATACTCTCATTGGAGGGAGAAGGTGTACCGAGCACGTTATAACCGCATGTGCACAACACGCGTGAACTGTACAAAATGCACAAAAAAACACATTTATGTATATAATGTACCGAACACACTGAATATATTTTTTATTGGTGGGACATGAATTTTTTCATGCATGCTTTCACCCTCAGATTTTTTAATTCTTTTATTATTACCTTTGTTTTTACAATGAAGAGCCCAACATGATAGATACTATAACCTTCCATCACGTTGCACAACAAATGCAACATTTTTATGACAACGTTAGTGTAATATATTTACATCGAAGGAATAATATTCACGCTGACATATCAAAATTTAATATTTATATGTAATTGTGCATTGTAAATTTAAAATTACTGTTTTTGTTAATTTAAAGTTGTTATTGATCCATGGAGAGGAGCCCCCAACCCTCATTTTGAGCTCTCTATCCCACAAATATATATATATATATATATATATATATATATATATATATATATATATATATATTTTGTGATCATTTGAAATCTCTAGAAACTAAGGCCGGCATGATTTTTAACTTTAAAAACAATTTTAAAGAATTTAGAAAACAGAAAACTGTTTTCAAATAATTATAAGAAAAACAATTTTTTCAATTTGAAAACATGTTTTTATAACTAAGTTTTCAGAAAACTAAACCAAGTAGAGTTTTTTATACAATTTTCAAATTTCTGAAAATAAAAAATTATTATCAGAGTTACAAACCAAACAAGCCCAAAGTGTGATACCCCTCGGATCCGAGACACGGGTTGATCAGGCCGAGGCACAAACCCGAGGGATATCAAACAATTAATACATTATAACGAACACAGATTACAAAAGAAATAAAAATAAAGTTTTAAAAACTGGAAGAAACTAAAATATAAAATCCTTTACTAATTAAATACTTAAATCTGATAATCCAAAACTCCATAATTTAAACAACTCGGGAATCCATCTTCAGTGGATCCCTAATAAAATCCCAAACTGAAATGAAAGTGAAACTGAAGATAAAATCCAAATCTATTATCCGGAAAGAAATCCTACGTCGCTGATAGAGTGGAAGATCGTCTCTGCTTAGCACGAACAAGCTCAAGCCTGGAACTGACGTACACCTGAAAAATAGAAGTGGATCAGGCCCACGAACAAGTTCTATTCTACTACAATCCAAGCAGAGATTCGATACGCATGTACATACTAAATAGTTCAACAATAACTAATACTCCATACATAAATATATTCACACTATTGGACTCTCGCTAAATTATGAAAAGGGTCTCAACCTGGATAGAAGGCATCACACAATACGCATCTAAGTGAACATGAGTACCTAAACCTAAACAGGGTATACCTCAACCCTCACAGTCAGCTACACATCCAATTGTATATACACACCCTAACCGTCGACACTGAGACTCAAGCTCATGACATGATATCATAAAAATATATCTAAACTCCGTTCCTAACCATCCACAAGAAATCCAGTAAGTCAATCGGCGTATTCAACCGTACCGACTTATTTATATAAGGAGGATTATATTTAATAACCTGTGCCCTTTTTCCAAAATAGATAGGACTTAACAGTTTGAGCTAATCCAACCCTAGTATGACACCGTCCCATACCGGTGCATGCCATCTCCTCTGTCCAATAGTTGACAAAGTATTTATAATAACCACATCAACAATTCCATATTAAGTATAATAAAATAATTTATCAAACATGCTTAATTAAACTAACAGTTGATGTAATACTGTCCATGAAAGTATCAATACAAAGACTTCCAAACCAAGCATGCAAGAGCAGATTAACAACCATGCTTAAATACACTAATAATTTAGAAAACACTGTCAATATAAATGTCAGTACCAAGATTTCCAAACTAAACATGTTAGAGCAGATTAACAACCATGCTACACGGAACTGAATCCGTATTAAACTCCATGTTCAGGTTCCATATATTTAACAGAGCCAAATTTAAATACTGTCCTAGACAATTTCACGACATGTAACATAAACATAAGTAAATTATCATACTTATGAATTTCCCTGCTCAACAGATTTATGCACTGCAGTTTAGAAACTTAATCATCAATTTAATTCCTAAGAAGATATAAACTCCTAACACTAATTCCATTATTTGAACATGAAGTTAGCAGTGAACAACTCTCACAAAAATTCTAAATTAATTGAGAAAACAATCCAAAACCAAATAGTCCGCTAAGCAACATACAACTTTCATACAGTTTTAACCATTGAACACTGGTGTCTAAATCTATGTTCTCTGTTCCTTTAGACCTAAACCTCCTCTGGACAGTCTCTAAACCTCCATTATAACCTCTATTCTCCTCAGAACAAGCTAGAAAATCAACCATCCAAACCTCCACGACTGAAAACTGAACAGAGAAGAAGTAAAACGTGAAAACTGGAAGGAGCAAAGATGAAGCAGGCTCCAATAACACTTGGAGCCACCTCCAAGTCCAAAGGAGCCGGCTCCAAACCCAAAAGGAGCCGCCTCCATCTCCCTCTTCTCTCTGTTCACTTTTCCGACTTCGTCTTCACCTACGACCCTTCATTGCTGAAGTTCCCAGAACTTGTAACTGAGTCCCAGTAGATTACCAACCCTTGTTTAAGTCCTTATTACGTTGCTAAGATGAGTTTAAACAAAGAACTAAGCAAGAAAGTTTCAAATTTATACAATTTAGCAGGTATAACACATACTGTAATAATTATAATTCAAACCATGAAACAGATAACGTTTTTATTATTATTATTCTTTTTTAAAAACATGGAATTCATCCTGGAACTATTAAGTATGCAAATAACACGAAGCCTAAGGGAGAGAGTAAGGATAAAACTTGCCTTACACCGACGTTCGTCTATATTTTCCGGCGAAACTCTCCTTTATTTGCTCTTTGTTTTCCTGTCATCTCTAAAACTGCTCTCAGACTTACGATGTCGTAATCTTCTTCTTAAAACCCTAGGCAGACATCCTAAGTGAGTATTTATAGGCCACACAAATCCTAAGTTCCCTCAACCCTAATCGGATTTGCTCGGCCCATACAGAAGTTTCAAGTTTATACAATGA